TAAAAGTTTAAAATAGTAACAATAGAAATTAAAAATAATAACAGCGATATCCATCAACGATGGTAACGTAAAATCATAACAACTTTCAATAATAAACAACAGCGAAGTAAAAAAAATCACCTGCGTAACAACTGCATCATGAAAGCACGTTTTATTATGCAATTTTGCTTCAAGTTTCCGCCACCGCCAATTTTTCGTATCCAATTCCCATACGTCATCATACAGATCGCTCACCTCAAATTTCAACAATCTAATTAAAATCTCTCCTCAAAAAACTGTAATTCGAATTTAAAATTTCCATTCAAATTCCAAGAAATCCCTCAATTGAAATCATCTCATACATCAAAAAATGTTGACACAAACAATTAACAAGTTCTATCAAATACGAAAATAACCACACGAAAATGAACAATAAAAGTCGACCATATCTCATCTCACCTCAATCTGTCCTCGCCTCCTAACCGCAACACGTCGTTTCTCACTGCATCCACCAATCACATAGATATTCTCGTTGAATTTCACACACGAGTGACACATTCTCGGCTGAAACGCGCAAAACAAATCAAACTCGATTACTCTCCTCTCAGATTTTCAATCAAACAATTTCCCCCCAACACACTGATACGTATTTCAGCATTCGCCCACTTCATTATTGATCATCAAAAACAATTGCATAAACTTCAGTTGATTACTATTCACTCAACTGACATACACCAAACAAAAAATCTTTTCCACTTATATTTGCATAAATAGAATGAAACTGCATTACCGCTGGATAACCATAACTCTCATCCGGTGCAATCGCACGTTTCGTAAACTTTTTCGTCCGTATATTGAATATGAGTAACTGAAAAAAGAAATAAATTGCTTTCAATTCACTAAAATACTCAATGAAATCAACACTATAACAAATGCTGAATGATAACGAGTAAACAATGAATAACCTCCTCAAGTGTCGATGCCCATCGTGGATTTCCACCTCCAATTATGATCAACTCGTCACCAATTATCTCAATCTCATGCCTATATCGTCCAAATTCTTCGCCTCCTTCCTAAACTTTCATTCAGTAACAAAACACAATTATACTCAAACAATAACATTAATAACGCTAATGGCAAATAACAAC